AAATACAGATGGACCATTGCATTCGTCCACTATAAAATACAGATGGCACATTGCATTCGTCCACTATAAAATACAGATGGACCATTGTATTCGTCCACTATAAAATACAGACTGACCCATGTATTCGTTCACTATTAAATACAGACTGACCATTGTATACGTCCACTATAAAATACAGACTGACCCATGTATTCGTCCACTATAAAATACAGATGGACCATTGTATTCGTCCACTATAAAATACAGATGGACCATTGCATTCGTCCACTATATAATACAGATGCACCATTGCCAATAAGACATGAAAAAACCATTTACCAGGAAGAAATGTTGAACTCGTCAGCTAATAATGATAACAAATAGCAATGATTATAAAGGTTGTGAGTGTAAAATGTGCCTAAAACAATAGTAACAGTCGCACTACAGGGGTGAGGGCGGGGTTAAGGGGTGAGGGCGGGGTTAAGGGGTGAGGGTGGGGTTAAGAGATGGGGGTGAAGGTTAAGGGGTGGGGGTAGCGTTATAGGGTTGGGGCAGTTGAACAAAATATATGTTTTCACAGTGAATAAAAAAGATAATTGTGAAATCTTTATTTTTTAACATCTGTTATTAAACAATTGTGTTGGGGTGGTGGTGGGGGAAAGGGGGGCATCACCCCTGCAGGCTTCATATTTACATGTGCGTGTGCTCAAGGTGAATACTACACATATCATACATAAGCTATTACGTTAGATGCCAGTTCCACTGACAGTTACACATATCATACATAAGCTATTACATTAGATGCCAGTTCCAGTAATCATCGACACTAGCAGACGTGAATTATCCACGCGATTATGTAAACCAACCCCAACAAATCTAATGGAATATATACACCGTGACAAAGTGTTCAAACAAATTGCTTTTAAAAAAAACCATACTTTGTCAAATTACAAAAGTGCATGAGTATAGTTTTTAATATACGTCAACAAATACAAGGTCATTTGACTACTTGTTACAAGTAATGATAACAATGTTGATAAAAATAAAAAATAAAATTTCTGACCGTAAGTACTAGAAAAATCTGGCAGGTATAATACAATCAGAATTTAAGTAGGCCTATTGGCCTACACTAGTTAAAGATTAAATTGAAATAAAAAAGCACTTCCGGTTAGCGTTTCCGGAATTTGACAATTAAAAAAAATCGCAAGAGGTGCACAAAATTGATTGCTTTTAATTTGATATCAACGTGCATTGAGATACTGTAAAGAACCGTAACTGTGATATTTCGTTGCTTGAGTTTACACGTAAGAGTGCTCTTATATTTTACAATGAATTTGTTAAAATGTTTACTAAATTCTGTCACATAGGATAACAGCCACACTCAATCAGAGAGGGGAAAAAAAGGTGTTAGGGTTGCATCCTGTTTTAAAAAAAAGGAATTGAAAAAGAAAACCCAATTATCCACGTTCTCAATTTTTAATTAGAAATTTAAGGGTGCTAATTAAATTGCTGGTCGGGTTTATTTACAGCGACGTGTCTGCTGTAAACATAATAATGGCGATTTTAATTAAAGTTGAATTGTTTCGAATAATTGGTTAAATTTTTAAAAAAATGTGCCGTAGTTACACATTTTGACACCTGGGTCAAGCATTTAGATCTTTGACTTTTTATTGGATTTGAAAACTATGATCTTCCACTCATTTGGATACACCAGCTGATGTATAGTTTTACCTGTCTTGGTCTGTATTTAAATATGGCATCCTGATATAGAAGTGCTTATGGAGAACCGACGTTTCTCGCGTAGGATAATGTATAAAGGATAACTGAAATTGCGATCTTCGCTATTAACCTCGGGTTACCTAGCGCCAAAAGAATGAATAAAAAAGACATTTTTATTTTGCAAAAAAAAAAAAAAAAAAAAAAACCCCAAAAAAAAACCCAACAACCAACAAAACCCTAAATTTTAGCGAAAAGGACAGATTCTACGAATAATTAAAAATTGATTGAGGGCGACATGTAAACAATGCAAGCAAGATATGTTCTCAGGTGTACTCAAGTGTGCTAATGTACAGACGCGGTTTGTGCCGGATAAAGCGCAGGGCTGAACAGGTAGCACCCAAGGGCCCCGAATGTTTAGGGGCCTTTAAATGTCGTTTATATATCTATTATAAGATAATAAATAGTCTTATTAGTATTTGTGATAAAAGAGTCAGGATTATTTTTTAAACAAGTTACACTTTCCACTAAAGCTGGAAGCAATACTGCATGTGATGTCTTTACAAAGACTTTGGAATGTGTAGACAGATTGGGGTATAAACTAATGTTTGTTCGAGATATCGCGGTTCTAAATCTGTATCATCAGAGACCCTATAATTGATAGAAAATAATAAACATTCACAATTATATTTTGCTTTTTAAAAGATCAATATTTACCTAACAACATAATTTGTTGTAGATACTAAAAGAAGGGAGACAATGAATTAAACTCAGCTGAAGAGTAACACAAGGGGAAATACCCATGGTAGAATTGCTGAAAACAGAATAGGTTTTCTAATTATAGTTAGAGCTTTAATGAACCGATGTAATTTAAAATCTGTGATATTTGCGAACTTTAATGAAAAGATAAACTTGTTATGTGCATTATCTTGCTAATTTTTTTTAAAAAAAGCCCTTTTGTACGGCTTAATTCTTTCAGAATGTCGTTACGAATGACGAAAAACTTGACATTTTTTTGGACCAACATCAAATGAGATTCAATTTAAAATATCTAAAGGTTTGTAATTATTCATTTAAAAAATATCACTACAAAGCTGAGTGTATTTGTATATATTAATAACAGCACACATACGCATGTGTAATATATACATACGAGCCGACCCGCTGCGTATCATACGCCGCTATTTAGTTTTTTTTTTTTTCTACTTTTCAGTAATTTATAATTTGTGAATTCGACAGTACCAATACTGCCACTGAAAATATTTGCTTAAAAACACTACCCCCCCCCCACGTGAAAGCAGCCTCCTCTTAGTTACCTCCTCTAAGTTTAAAATCGTTTCAAACTAAATTATCTGCCCCTAATAGCCGTCACCAAACCCGTCTCTATGATTGTAAAATGTAAACAGCGTGACCACAGCTCACCAGACAATGGTGGGGTGGGGGTGGTAGTGATAGTGATAGAGAGAAAGAGAGGGGACTGCAAGGAGGCGCTTGCAGCTTGTTTTCTAACGGCTCCCAGAAGAGAATTATATATATAGATACTGATGTAAAATGGAAGCGACGTATTAAATGATTTATCTCCCCTCAATTGTCTCCCCTGTATCCCACAACTCTGTATAAGCAATGGATTGGACGGGATCATCTCGGATTGCCCACGTCACATCCTCGTTCTCTGAACGGTGAGGATTTGATCTTCTCGCCCCATCTATTCACGTTCTTTTTTTTTTTTAATTCGTGTATTTATACTGTCTTAAGTTGTGACTGGGTAGAGGAAGGGAAGGGGGGGGGGGGGGGGGGTCGAGGATACCAGACGGGGTCGGGATTGAGGAGACTGGGGTTGGGGGAAGCAAGCAAATTTCTACCCCCATCCACCCTACACCTTCCTGCCTACGCAAATGTACCCTGGTATTTCGTTAAAGAGAAGAGTGGCCAGATTAATTTTCCGCCTAAAATAGCAGCCGATTTTATGAGTTTTTATACTTAAAAGCTAAGAATGCGTAAATTTTAGAATTTTCTACCACGCGAGAGATGACGAAACGTCCGCCAAGTTTTTCAGAGCGGTTTTTTCCCGCTCCTGATAGTTCGTTATCTAGAGTAAACCCAGATTTTAACACTTTTTTTTTTATAATAACACAGATTATATTGATTACGAATTATGGTTTGATAATCAGAAATAATTTTCTATACAAGCCAATTATAAATTATATAGAAAGCATATCGTAATTTTGTTTAAAAATATAAATAAATCCCATTATACTTAAAACACAAACAAACAATGAAACATGTATAATTACTTTCAAATTAAAGTATTAGGGGAACCATTTGCTGATCAGGGGAGATAACGTTTCGCCATCAATGTTTTATTTTATTTTTTCGTGTGAAATAGCTATAAAGATGTACGACTTGTATATTTTCCACATCGAAATGGATGTTTTTAAATATTAAAAAAAAAACTTTTTCTTCTCTAAACTTAAGGCTATGTTAAATTATTTGTCGTGAGCTTACAATTCCGTTTAAGGGTACAGGTCCTAAAATTGTAGTAAGTCTATTGGCTAGGCATACGATATTTTTGTTTTTAACAAACAGGGATTAGATCAGTATGGATAGGAGTGATACACATCAATGGCTTGCTGGTGCTCCGTAGTAAAAGTGCACACACATTTGTGATACGCTCTCGGCTTCAATTGGAAATGATATAAATTCTTGTAGAACGGAAGTACCAACACATTAATAATTCCGTTGACCTTTGTTTACCAGGCCAACATGGTGACACTGTTCGTCACGTGACTCACAGGAAGTGTCTGCTATTCCAAGATGGCGGCCCATGAGTGGCCTCCAATCAGAAAAAACAAGCGTCATAAAATAGATAAGTATCGCGTGCCAGTGAAATCGAGTAATCGACTCGGGGATTTTTTTCTACAACGATACGAGGGCCCAAAGATCAGTGTTTCTTCCAGACTTTTTTTCCGGGGGGGGGGCACTTGAAATCTTCGGGGGGGGGGGGGGGCGGTAAACTTTCTTCGGGGGGGCGGACACTGTTAAAAGTATATATTTTCTATATAAATTACATAAATTTCATTTCGTTCGGGGGGGGGGGGGGGGGGCGGTAAAAAATTTTCGGGGCTGGAAGAAACTCTGCCAAAGATTGTTTGATCTAGATATTTATCTTGGCTGGAATCGATTATTTAAGTCCCACTTCCAGAGCCGAGTGGGTGTCGAGTCTTTGCGCATGTTCCGTCTGCACCCCCTCCCCCTGTACTAGGGGGAGGGTAAAAGAGAAAAAAAAACACGACCAGGAAGAAACCTCACTTTCTTGGCCACAGAGCTTCCACGGAGAAGAGAATGTCCGCGATATTTCCGTCCAGTAGTGCGTCGTCTAAAAACACCGGAACATCCGGCGGTTTTCCGGCGACCGTTTCCGGCGGTGTCGTAAAAATGGGCGGCACGACTACCGTGACCGGCACCGGGGGAGTGGTCGGGATGAGATCCGGCTGCAGGGAAGTCTGTCTTTCAAATTTAGCCGGTTTCCGGCTCGAGGAAACCGGTCTCGGGTTCATCTTCCGGCGTTGTCTCTTCAGCTCCATCCGCGGGGTCAGCTCGTACATGTCGTCGTCTTCTTTGGTGAAGACGAGCTTGGGTATATTCTCCCCGGGGAGGATCGACACGGGAGGGGACAGGTTCAGCAAGCTGACGCTCCGACGCTTCAGCACGTCGTTGGTCCCGCACGTCTCATCAGAAGCGTCGCCGCTCTCGTATAAATCCAGATTTCCGGTGCTGGAGCTGCAGTTCCGGCTGCCGAAAAGTTTCCGCCCGCAGCAGAATCGCTTGGCGAGGGATGTTCTAAAAATAGGCGAGCACGTCATCGCGTTCGGGTTTTCCCCGTCGCGTTTGGCGTCGTAGGCGGACATGCTGCCCAGCTCACTGTCTCGGTCCGTGCTGCTGTACAGCGACTCCATGGACGCGTTCTTCACCTCGGAGTCTTCCTCCTCAAGGTCATCGCTGAAGGTCGTCTGCCGAGAGTTGACCCCCGACCTCCAAGCCGATTTCGGATCTAAAAAATCCTCCGATCTCGTAGACCCGCGAGGTCTCGTGAGATCCGAACTGGCGTGGCTGTCACAGGAAGTGGAATTCTGCCGGAGGTTGGGCGGGCGCCGGCTCCCGCAAACTAAGGAACTCCCTGGGGTGGGGACGACGCCCCCGTTGCTGGTGGACACGCCCAGGTACTTGTTCTGCGTGGCGCCCCCGCAGACGCGGTTGAGCTGGGAGACGAAGACGGAGGTGTCGAGCTCGACGTTGTCGCTCTCGGCCATCTCGGCCAGCCAGGCGATGAGCTTGTCGTACGAGTCGACGGACGGCCCTCGCAGCTCCTCCACTCGGTTCAGGACGTTCGCTGCGGACGGGAGAGGAAACACGTCAGGATGGTAATCAAGTGTTTTAATTAATTAAAACAAAATGTACGACAAAAACCACGGAACTACAACAAATATCATGATTAGGATGATAATGTTAATGATGATGATAATGGTAATGTTAACGTTAATGATAATGTTACTGGTAATGATAATGGTAATGATACTAGTAAAGATACTGGTTTTAAAAATTGTAATAGTAATAATAATGCAATAAACGACAATAATAATAAAAAGTACTAATAATACTAATAATATAAAAATGATAATGTCAAAATAATTATAATATTTGCAATACAAAATCTCAATGGCAAAACATCACCATGCAGGCGAAAATATTAAAAGGCGCTTGGAAGCTTAAAAACAAGCCAAAAATATTTTTAAAACGTGTGATCTAAGCTCAAAGATCATAAATACTAACGATCTAAAACTTTTACGGATCTACCTCCGGCCAATGATGTCTGTCATTGTCTATATAATTTCATATGTTGTATGTCATATACTACATGTCTGTCACTGTCTACACCTTGCCATATGCTGCATGTCATGTACTACATGTCTGCTATTTCTGTATGCCATTTGCTGTATGTCATGTACTACATGTCTATTATTGTCCGTATGTCATATACTAAATGTCTGCATTTCTAAATGTCAGTGTCTAGGCATACCACTAGATACCCCGTCACATAAAGCTTATAATCTTAGCCCACAGTATCAAACCCTAACTCAAACCACAGCCGCCGCTAACCCGAGGTTGTACTCTAAGTCCACTCCGATGTCCGGAGTTTAGCAGACGTGACTAGATACCCTATCGTCTGCAATGGTGGAGATGATGGGGGGAAACCTTTTACATTTCATTCATTATTCACGTGACTTCCGGCTTGGTTGTTGGCTAGACATGACGTCACGCTTTGTACACAGAATGTACACAAGGCTTTGATAGACGGCGGAAATATTTCGATGGGTGGCCGAAATATTTTTGATGGATGCCAAAAATATTGTTATGGTTGGCCAAATTTTTTTGGATAGATGCCAAAAATATTGTTATGAATGGCAAAATTATTAAACTTTTTAACTTGGTCATCTATATATTTAAAATATCCGAATTTTACTCCACATATCATCAACATTTCTCTGTCTTTTAATATTTTTATCTTTAAAAAAATAACATATCTATCTTATCTAAATATCACATTTTCTTTAAAATATCAAATTTTCTTTATCTAAAATATGCAAAATGTTCTCTTTAAAATACAGTCGTTGTCTTTGTAAAGCATAGTTATTCCCCCTTTGGAGATTTAAAAAACAACAACAACAACACCTCAATGCCTCTCTCTAAAACACCACCCTCTCTCTCTCTGAGAGATTCACTGTTCTCTCTACACCTTTCATAAAACATCAAACATCCTATCTTTATCTTTGCACTCTTCAGATTTTTTTTGTATCATCAAATAATTGATCAAACATTTGATCAATTCATTGGATGGCGCCAGTATTTGCCTGAAGCTGTTTTATTGATAAAAAAAATGATATTCAATCCCCGGATCGATAATTCTATAATTTATATTCCATTTAAGATAGAAAAAACAGACTCGCTCAAAAGAAACGAAATTAAACATCAGTCGTAAAAAATCGAACTCTTCGATATGAAAACTACACAAGTAAAAGACGAACATGAAATGTTTCACAAGGCTAGAATATCGATTCTACCACATGACAGAAAATCGAACACGAATCCGGCTACGAGTACGAATACAAACAAAACTATTCAAATACAGAGTATACAATTGTTTCAGCCGTTACTTTAAATATCAAATTATTCCGTAGCATTCATGTTTATCCTTGATATTGATTTTTAAGTAATCCAATTTTAAGGAAAGGAAATATACAAATTCCAAAGTAATTTCGGCAGCTTAAAGTTAGTTTTAGACGAAAATTACACGTCGGGTGTCTTTGCATGTAAGAAAATTTCTGGGCTTTAAGGGCGTTTTTATCTTTAAAAAAAAAATGTACTGGGTTATTGAATGACGTCTTTGTAATGTGTTTAAAGGACGTTATTGCCCTAAAAAAAGTAGGCTTAAAGGACGTCTTTGCTTTTCAGAATGGTAATGGAGTTACATACAAGACGTCTAGGCCTTTCATAAAAATACTTTATTTAATTAAACAACCGTCATTTCTTTTCAAGACAAGTATGGGGCTCAGAAAAGTAATGCGTCTAAAATTAAAAAAAAGTCTTTTACTCTTGATGAAAAGTACTGGGTTCAATTAAAAGACGTCTTTGCCTTTCAGAAAAGTACTGGATCTAATTAAGAAAAAACGTCTTTTTCTCTTGAAGAAAATTACTGGGCTCAATTAAAAGACGTCTTACCCCCACGAAAAGAACTAGGCTAAAGACGTAATAATAAGACGTCTCTCTGGCAATTACTTCCTGCGCATGCGCAGATGTAAGCGGGCTCCAGACTTTGAATAAACCACACCGAAAGGTGGGAAACACCTGTAGGACAGGTACGTCGAGTGCAAACCGTTGTATAACTGTTACAGGTGTGAAGTGCTGGATGGCACTTATGAGCGGGGTGGTGGGCGGTGGTGCCAACGCCAGAGGGGGGTGGAGGGTGTGTTTTGATTGGTTTAATTAAGATTTGAAGTACTATACTGGATGAGTGGCCAATACACACATGAACAAAATACGAAGAGATTGTTGATGGACTATGGTTGTGGGAAGTAGTGGATAAATAATCTAGAAGATTGGATACAGCTAGTTCTTACTCTTACGTTGTTTGTAAAAAGTGTATATGAAGTAGTCTTGCGTTTTACGATGGGGAAGGGAAAGTGAATAGGGGCAAATATAGGGCAATTTAATGGTAAATAGTGAACATATAATGGACAAAAAAAAATCGCCGAATAGTGGACAAATAGTAGAAAAGGAAGTGGCGAACAGTGGACATATAATCGACAACTAAATAGTGAATAAAAAGGTAAAGTTCCCTATTCAAACCTGACGGTCTATGGGGCAAGTGAAGTAGGGTTCACCTGTTTCTGTGACCTCGGCATATGAAGGGATAGTGTAGTCAGCACTATGCCCAGCCGGAAACAGGGCATTACCCCCCCCCCCCCCCCCCGTCAATTACCCCCGGACATTTCCCCCCCCCCCGTCATTACACCCCGAAGTAATTACTCCCCTGTCAATTACCCCCCGCCCAGTAGGACATTACCTCCCGGTCATAGCTTAAGGTTCAGCTAGGGTTAGCGATAGGGTTAGGGCTAGGGTTAAGGTTAAGGTTAGAGTTAGGGTTAGGGCTAAGTTTAGGGCTAGGGCTAGGGTTAGTGTTAAGATCAGGGTTAGGCTTAAATGAAAGTCTAGATTTTTGTTTGGTTTTGTGTTTATTTTAGGGTGAGGTGAATTCTTAGGTTTTTCGTCTTTGTCTTAAGGTTACGATTAAGGTAATATATATGTATAGAGTTGGAGTTAGAATCAGGATTCTATCTTGGTAAATGGGGGGAGAGGGGGGCGGGGGGTAATTACACTGGGGGTAATTGACAGGGGGGTAAATACGGGGGGGGGGGGGAAATGTCCGGGGGAAATGTCGGGGGGGGGGCTAATGTCCTGTAGCCGTCTAGCAGTCTATACTTTACCTAACGTGACCCATCAAAGCTGGGTGGACTCAGGGACGGCCTACTGACTTGAACCTGGATTCGAAGTCGAGACTTACGGGTTAGCAGTCTAGTTTAAATGGTGAATAGTGGACTAATAACGGACCAAATGTTGGACTGAAAATGTTTAGAAACTGGTAAACACTAAGCGGAAAAATAGATGGGAACAAGGGATACTAAGAGGATAAATAGTTAATCAATAGACGGACAAATGACTCGTCTCTGATCTAACAAATGCCACATAAAAAAGTAGCCTGCGCTTGATGTAAGAGTTCATCATTAGCATCGGATGACAAAAGGTGGTGGTGTTCGTACTACGTTACCACAATAACAATGAGGTGGCTGTCTCGTGAATTAACAGTGTCCTCACTTGTCAAGACAGTCTCGTGGAGACACCTTGATGTCCCACAAAGACAGTTTCACGAAGACAGAGTCTCGTCCCGTATAGACACTGTCTTGTCGAAGTATGCTTTGATGACCATTAAAAAAGCGTGTTGAAATTGGCTGAACAGATGCTCATAAAAAGTCAGTTAATCGTTTGTAAATAAACACTAGCTCTATGGATTTCATATCCACAAAAAGGTCTTCTGTTTGCTTGTATGTATTTTTTAATCCATTTCATAACGAAAGCTTAAACAAATTTAATTAGAATATTGATTTTTTTTGTACTGCACACATTTAAAAAATTATCTAAACTCTAAGAAATTTTTCTTTCGTCAAGGGAAGTAATTCATTAATTTAGTTTGATAACTGATTACAAGATACAGTTTCAACGAATGCTGAAGATATTAAATAAGTGAAGAAAGAAATGTTTCGTTAATAATTTTCTGATGTTCTAGTGCGGTTGTATTCAGACGAGGGGTTATTTTTGCTGAATATGATGGAGAAATGGTGGGAGCTAGAGGGAGATAATTCAATCTGGGCATAGCTGATTGGATTCCGTCTTGATGTGGGGTTGATGCTCGCGGTGATTCGGCTTTGATTTGTATCGCGTGATGCAGCTGTGTGGTTGTGTGATTGTGTGTGGTTATGTGGGTGTTTGGTGGTGTGTGGTTGCGTGAGTGTGTGTGAGGGTATGGGTGGGTGTTTGTGAGTGTGGGTGGGTGTGGGACTATCTGTGGACGTATTGCAGTGTGGTTGTGTGTGTGTGAGGCTTTGTGGGTGTATGTTTGTGAGTGTGGGTGGGTGTGGGACTATCTGTGGACGTATTGCAGTGTGGTTGTGTGTGTGTGAGGCTTTGTGGGTGTATGTTTGTGAGTGTGGGTGGATGTGGGACTATCTGTGGACGTATTGCAGTGTGGTTGTGTGTGTGTGTGGCTTATTTTTGTGT